TCAGAGAGATAGTTGAGAGGAAAGACGTGAGATTAGTAAAGTGCATACTGACGATAATCTCGTAGATCCACTGACAAAGCCTCTGTCACAGCAGAAGCTAAAGGCACTTGAAATCATTTGGTATTAAATACATGAATGATTGGCTATAGTGCAAGTGGGAGATTGTTAGAGTAGATGCCCTAGAGCCAATCAATTATTGTAGATGACTCTTGTAATAATGTTCATTAATCAATAAAAAAGGCATTTTATCTATATCGCGTAAATCATTAATTGCAAATGTATTGATATATGTCCTTAGAATGGTAGAAACGTGACGAGGGTATCAAGTGTTTCAAATCTTGATAGTGAGAACCCTATGAGACATGTGGTGGCCATTCTAGAAACGTCCGTAGCCCAGTATTATTCTGAAGTAAGGGCACAGATAATACGGTAAGGCTATTATAGTGGTGAACGACCCTGTCGAAAGGCAGTGAATGATCTCACTTGTCAAGGTGTTTGATGACAACTTGGTGCAACACATGGGTGCTTGTTGTAGGCGGATATACCGCAGCAAGTTCACTAGATGACCCACCAGAGGATTCCAATGGATGGTAACCCAGTGTCTATGGAACAAATCCTCTAATGAATGGTGGTGCATGTGATCCTTAGACTTGAGATCACGGAGCGCCTTGTGCACCGATTGGTACAGTTTGACACTAGCCTAACGCAATTCTATTCAAAGCTGTCAGGGTGGGGTGATTGGCTGTATTAAGAGTGTATCAGACTATGGTGGATTGACAGAGGATTCATCAGTCCGGGTACGGGAGAAGTTATCTCACAGGCAATTCAGTATATGGCAATGACACTGAAACTGTGGGACCAGTGGGATTGAGTTGTTGCTCTATCTAAAATTATAATACGGGTCATCGGTCCAGAAACTGAATATATAATATCAAGAGTAACGAAGGTTGACACTATTTCTATGCCTTGTCTCTCGTCGAGATAACGTATGATGAAAGGATCGTATTGTACGGCAACTATATCGTTGACAGGTAGCTACTTTGCTGAATCTGAATCTATCGGGGGACCATGATGCCTTGCTAGAGGCCAATCTTGGTCTGTGTATTAGTGAGACAATTAATTGGTGTTAATCGCGATACTATACAATCGGTATGATGAGGAGCCTATGGGTCACACATAGAAGAAATTTAAAGCCAAGAAGAAAGAAGGCATTTTCGTCTTTTTAGGCAAAATGGTTATTTGGTAATTTCACAGTGCAATAAATTTGGGAGGTGTAGCCTTTATTTAATTTGTTAAAAAAATTAAATAAGTGAAATTAGGTTAAATTTGTGTTCGCACATATTTAATTAAATCATCATCATTTAAATGTTAATTAAATCTAATTGATTTTAATTGAAATAATGATGATAAATTAAAATATCTAATTGGGAGTGTTTGGCAATTTGGGGGTGTTTGGGTGTAGCCCAAGCCCAATCCAATGGGAATAGGGCAACTAAAATAAGACTATAAAAGGAAAAGGGTTTTAGTTGGAAATTGGGTGTGATTTTATTATTCTTTTGATTTTGAAAAGAAAAAAACTCCAGCCAAAAACTCTCCACGCACTTTTACTGTTCATTGAAAACAACAATTTTGTTGTCTTCTTGATTTTTAAGGCCAAGGAGGATCTAGCAAATCCCTCCTTGGTTCTTGTTGATTGTCTTTGTGTGGACCTCTACGGTTCGATCCTATACTTGGATCGGTAGCAAAAAACGTTCAGAGACAATATTGGTGGAGCCTCCAACGTGGTATGAATAAACCTTTGGATTTACTTTTCTGCAGATTCTTACAAAATGTATTACTTTGTAAAGGTAGATTCTCAAAAGTCAAACCAACTTACTTTAAATGTTATGAAATATAAATATAAATGTATTCACATTACTTTTTCTACAAAAATTTATATTAACTCCCCTAATCTTTAATTTTATTTTATATTAGTCTCGGTTCTTGGTTCCGGTTCTGGTTCCTAACTATAGGAACCGGAATCGGAACCGCACAGTAACAGTTCCAAAAATTTGGAATCGGAACCTACCCATTGACGACTGGTTCTGGATAGGAACCGGAACCAAACCCAGGGTACCCGCCGGTTCCGGTTCCAACCAGTTCTTTTGAACACCCCTAGTTTCTAGCGCATATTTGCATATACAATCTATTATACAACCCACTATCATGAGATATTATTAAGTATTAATATAATTTATAAAATTGTATTATAATTTAATGGTTATTATTATGACTTGTAATTAATTAACGTAGGGGAATATTAGTGATATAAATATATAAAATATTTTATTTAGACATCATTAATTTAAAAACTAATACATTACATATCTCACAACTTAGAAGTGTTAAGTACAACTAATTGCTATTATGCTTATTAATACATATTGGCATTACCATTTTTTTCAAGAACATTTGAAGGAATGTATTGCTAAAATTTGATTAGTTGATAATAGGTAAATAATAGTACAATGGGTTAGGTTTAAGAGTTTTATATCTTTTACACGAGTTTCAACATAATTTCTAAATTATTAAATTAGTGATTTGAATTGTTGATATTACATCTAAAATGAGATATTATCAATTTATGAAATGATTAAAATTAAAAATTTAAAAAAAAGTTTTGAATTCTTCGAGAGAAGCATAAATTTTATATTTCTTTAATGTAAATTTAGTGTTTATTAAATTTAAGAAAAACCTAAACTTTATTTGCTCAGATACCCCTGGCAACTTTTTGCTTAGTTACCCTTGGAAAAAATTCTGTTTAAAAAAACTAATATATATATATAAACAAACAAACAAAAATTAAAAGGGTTTAAGTTCTAAATTTAAATTTTTTTAAAAGCTAATGAAAACTTAAAAAACAAAATAAAATTTAAGAAAATTAAATGGAAAAAAATAGTATTAAAAATATATATATAAATTAACAAAAAAATTCTGAAAAATTAAAAAATTTGAAATTAAAAATATGAAAAATATGAATTTGAAATTTGTTAGTTTTCATGTTTGTTATTTTTGTAGGTTTTTATATTTTAATATTCTTAAATTTTTTTTTTTTATTTTTTAGTTTTTTGGTTTTTAAAGTTTTAAAGTAAATTTAATTTGTTTTCTAGACAAAATTTAAAATTTAAGTGAAAAATATTTTATAATCCTTTGATTTATCTATTAATTGTTCTTTTCTAGACAATTAGAAATTTGTTTCTTTTTGTTATTATTTTTATGAAAACTTTGTATCTAAATTAATAATTTCCCTTTGAACTACGTCATTTTTAATTTTATTAATTATGTTAGGCTAATTGAATCTCAACTATTAATACGGTCTTAATCTAACGTATTCAAATAATTAGATTACATCTGATTTGACTAATAAATTACGTAAATTATTTAAAAGTGTCTTAATTTGACTAATAAATTATGTAAATATATCCCCGTAGATGATTAAAATCTATGGTTACGGAACAGACTAATCATATGAGGTTGAGGTAGGGGTGTAATCGAGCCGGGCCGAGCCGAGCCGAGCCGAGCTCGGTTACTATAGCAACGAGCTCGAGCCTCATCGAGCGTGACAAACCTGAATTGAACTCGAACTCATGATACTGTTGGAAGCTCGAATTCAAGCAAGCTCGATTGCAGCTTGATGCAAAATCAAGTATTAGCTCGAATTCGACAACAAATGACAATTACCACCAATTACATGAAATTAAGAGATAATTACATATTTACATTGCAAAGCATGACATAATAAGTTTAGATACACTGATATGATGATATCATAAGTATAAGATCAAGGTTCAAGAAGAACTATACTAAAAAAATAAGGTGTCACATAAAACATCCCACACATTCATGTACAAAAAGCATAACACCATATATTGGCAAACACAATTCTAACTTATGAGTTGTTGGAAGCTTGGAATATGGCAGCAAAATGTTCATCTTGTAAGTTGTTAAAGCAAACGTGCACTTTGAGTCTGAGGTTGTGTATCTAGTATCTACATACCTTCAAAAACTGAGAAAAAAAATAATGGGAATTAAAAATGGTGTAAATATTACATGGATAAAGCATGATACTGCATAATGTAACTTAGAAATAATATTCATGATACTGCCTAATGTGACTTAGAAATAGTTACTCTATAAAGCATGCATTGTAATTGCATCTAAATAATGTCCAATGAAAATGAGAACTTAACCAATGATGTAAATATTGCAAGGATAAAGCAATTGCATCTAACTATTGCAACCCAACATAATAAACAATTAACATCCTGATGATGAAGATTGAAGACACTAAGTTGCGTGAAAAATGCAAACTGCCAAACGGCCCAAATCACAACAAAACCTACAAACCTTAACAATTAACATCCTCAAAAACCAACAAAGTTGAACCCCACGACCCACTCTCCATAAACAGCATACAACTCTTCATTAATCCTAATTTTTATTTTCCAAACAATAAAACATATACATAGAAATAATGGTGTAAATATTACAAGAATAAAGCATGATACTACCTAATGTAACTTAGAAATAATATTCATGATACTGCCTAATGTGACTTAGAAATAGTTACTCTATAAAGCATGCATTATAATTGCATCTAAATATTGTCCAATGACAATGAGAACTTAACCAATGATGTAAATATTACAAGGATAAAGTAATGCATCTAACAATTGCAACCCAACATAATAAACAATTAACATCCTGATGATGAAGAGTGAAGACACTAAGTTGCCTGAAAAATGCAAACTGCAAAACGGCCTAAACCACAACAAAACCTACAAACTTTAACAATTAGCATCCTCAAAAACCAACAAAGTTGAACCCCACGGCCCACTCTCCATAAACAACATACAACTCTTCATTAATCCTAATTTTTATTTTCCAAACAATAAAACATATACATATACCTGCCAATATATCAAAAGTTTGAATGTTTGGACTGCTGGAGGATCAAACATCTACTGAATCACTTCAGCTGAAGGGATAGGAAGTGTAATCTCCATTGGTTGAACATCCCTCTAAAATACATATAGAGAAAGATAAAAAAAGTTTAAGTTAAGAGTAAAATAAAGTCAATTACAAATAAAGGAGGAATATAAATTGTATTAATTTAATAAATGAACTTACTTTGCTCTCCTTCTTCAATCCGTTAAGATTGCAGCACCAATCACCCACACATAGTAGCACTTGGATTGTTTCAGGAAACAATGAAGCTCGATAAGTGTCGATGACTCTACTCCCAGCACTAAAACTATCCTCTGATGCCACCGAGGTGATAGGAATGGCTAGTACATCTTGAGCCATCTTAGATAATACAGGATACTTTGAATTGTTCCATTTCCACCAAGCCAAAGCATCAAAAGCATCATGAGCTTCTTGACATTTGTAACTTCCCTCATCCAAATAACAATCCAAATCTGATTTTTCCGATGCAACCGTATCAGTTGTCTCTACTAAACTCAGTAATACTGACCAACCAGAAGAGTCATCTCCCGTAAACACCCCACTGCTACTAGGCCCGCCACTAACCTCTACATCAGCACTGCGTTGGGCAATAGAAGATTGCATATCAGCCACACATTCCCCATACAACTCATATAAGGCCTCTTGAACTCTTACAACATGTGTCCGGGACTCTTGAGGACCAAATATCTTGGGGAAGGCACCTTCAATTACTCTCATTTTACACCTAGTATCTAATACCGCAGTAATAGCCATCAACAAATTACACTCTCCCCAATACTTATCAAAATTAGCTTTCATCAACCTCACCATGCTCCGAACAAAATCATCCTTATCATTTGCATGTCTATCCAACAATATTTTCACCCTACAAACCTCAGCCAAAAACTTATTTGAAGTAGGATAGTCACTCCCGGAATTGATATTTGTGGCATCACTAAAAACTTTCAAAATCTGACAAACTTTCTCAACTTTGTCCCAGTCTTCTAAGTTGGGACTGTTAGAGTAGATGCCCTAGAGCCAATCAATTATTGTAGAATTGACTCTTTGTAATAATGTTCATTAATCAATGATAAAAGGCATTTTATTCTATATCGCGTAAATCATTATTATTGCAATATGTATTGATATATGTCCTTAGAATGGTAGAACCATGACGAGGGGTATCAAGTGTTTCAAATCTTGATAGTGAGAACCCTATGAGCACATGTGGTGGCCATTCTAGAAACGTCTGTAGCCTAGTATATTCTGAAGTAAGGGCACAGATAATACGGTAAGGCTATCATAGTGTTGAACGACCCTGCGAAAGGCAGTGACTGATCTCACTTGTCAAGGTGTTTGGTGACAACTTGGTGCAACACATGGGTGCTTGTTGTAGGCGGATATGTGCCAGCAAGTTCACTGGACTGACCCACCAGGGATCCATATGGATGGTAACCCCAGTGTCTATGGAACAAATCCTCTAATGAATGGTAGGCATGTGATCCTTAGACTTGAGATCACCGGAGCGCCTTGTGCACCGATTGGTACAGTTTGACCTAGCCTAACGCAGTTCTATTCAAAGCTGTCAGTATGGTGGTGATTGGCTTTAATGAGTGTATCAAGACTATGGTGGATTGACAGAGGATTCATCACTTCGGGTATGGGAGAAGTATCATCACGGCACAATTCAGTATATGGCAATGACACTGAAACTGTGGCCACAGTGGATTGAGTTGTTGCTCTATCCAGATTATATACGGGTCATTGGTCCAGAAACTGAATATATATATCGAGAGTCAGAAGGTTGACACTATTTCTATGCTTCGTCTCGTCGAGATAACGTACGATGAAAGGATCGTATTGTACGGCAACCATATCGTTGACAGGTAGCTATTTGCTGAATCCGAATCTATCGGGTGGCCATGATGCTTGCAGGGGCCAATCTTGGTATGTGTATTAGTGAGACGATTATTGGTGTTAATCGCGATACTATACACTACCGGTATGATGAGGAGCCTATGGGTCACACACATAGAAGATAATTTAAGAGCCAAGAAGAAAGAAGGGCATTTTCGTCTTTTTAGGCAAAAGGGTATTTTGGTAATTTCACAGTGCAATTAAATTTGCTGAGGTCGTAGCCTTTTATTTAATTTGTTAAAAAAATTAAATAAGTGAATACGGTTAAATGTGTGTTCACAAATATTTATTAAATCATCATCATTGTAAATGTTAATAAATATTAATTGATTTTAATTGAAATAATGATGAATTAAATTAAAAATACTAATTGGAGTGTTTGGCAAATTTGGGGGTGTTTGGGTTGTAGCCCAAGCCCATTCTATATGGGAAAGGGCAACTAAAATAAGACGATAAAAGGAAAAGGGTTTTAGTTGGAAATTGGGTGTGTTATTTTTATCATTCTTTTGATTTTGAAAAGAAAAACCTCCAGCCAAAAACTCTCCCACGCCATTTACTGTTCCATTGAAAACAAAAAACTTTTGTTTTTCTTCTTGATTTCTTAAGCCCAAGGAGGATCTAGCAACTCCCTCCTTGGTTCTGTTGATTGTCTTCGTGTGGACCTCTACGGTTCGATCCTATACTTGGATCGGTAGCAAACACGTCAGAGACAATATTGGTGGAGCCTCCAACATGGGTATGAATCTAAACCTTTGGATTTACTTTTCTGAGATCTTATAAAATATAAACTGTAATTTTCTATGCCCTGATTTTTGGGTTTAAGGACGATCCATGGTTGTATTTTGTTTTCCGCTGCGCAACCGGGTCGTTTCCTAACAGTGGTATCAGAGCTAGGGTACTAGATTTAAGTTATTGAATGGTGATACATGTATTTGTTGATAACATGCTGCATTGATGAATCTGCCATGAAAAACCCAGATTTTGTTAAAAACTGAAAAATCTGTAAATCCACTGTTGAATGAGTGATTCAAATGATAAACTGGTTTAATAATGTGTTGATGAATGTTATATTGTGGGTAATATCCTGGTTGAACGTATGTACGTGATTTGATTTGGATTCGTGTTTATACACAAAAAAAAAAAAACTGCAAAAACGCGAATTGTACGAATTGGGGATTTCCAGGTTTCGCCGCGGGGAGCCCTGGACAGTTCGCAGCGGCGAAGATAAAACTTTGCCGCGGGAAGTTTGTGACGGCTAGACCTAATGTTAATCCTCGCCGCGGCGAAGATAAAACCTTCGCCGCGGCGAAGTATGCAGCGGGGAAGTGCATACTGTAAATCCTCGCCGCGGCGAAGATAAACCCTCACCGCGGCGAAGGCTGTAGCTTTCCAATTCTGTATTTTTGCAAGGGACTAATCTGTGGGTTTTAATAACCTATAAAGCCAATGTATACTGCACATTTAAGAGGGTAATTAATTAACTAACCCACCCAATTCAAATTGATATTTTTGAAATGTATGCTTTGTACTGTTTTGTATATTGCATGGTGCGCGGTACATGAGCCTTAGACCTGAGGGTGAATGTTTTAAATTATTTTGGGTATGTATGGCTGTAATATTTTAAATAGGGCGTGTGTGTCCTGCCTTCTCTCTTCTTCTTAATGTACTCTTTTCTCATCTCATTCCCTCGAATGTAAATCGAGGTTTCTAAATTGTTGATGTAAAATTAGTTTAATATTAATTTTATTGTAAATTTAGAATGATGTTTTTGTAATGTACCTGGAGACGGAGCGAAGGATGAGGCAACCATACTTGAAGACTAAGATAGTTACAAGATCCCTAGGTGGACCACCGATCCCTCTAGGTCGAGGAGATCGGTTTTGTTAGGCCTGTACCGGCACGTTTAAATTTTGTTAGAATGCATGCTAAGGTTGAATGTTGAATAACATGCCAAACAATGCATTCTAACAAAGATAATAATCTGATGAGACATTAAATAACAAACCCCTCAACTAAGAATATTAAGTCACGAATGCCTTCCATCACCATGGTTTTAATCAAACCACTGTTCGTCGAAACTTGTTCGCCAAAGCGAAGGGTACACTTCTACCAGTGGGAGGTTAAAATTCATTAGAGTTTTCCTTAATGGTGATGGGTCGATAAAATGACAGTTTTGCTTGTTCGCCAAAGCGAAGGTTGATAAACGCACATAGGCGAAGTAGAGCAGCACACATATTATGTGTACGTGGTGACATGTAGTGTCCACTACTGATAATGAGAATCACACTTGAGGACAATGGTTGGAGCCATGGATTGTGTGATTGGTTGTTGGCTTTTCACATTTGAGGTTGATAGTGGGAGCTATCAATTGGTGTGGATTAAGTTTGTTGGCCTACCTAATCAACCCATTTTGGCTGTTCGCCAAAGCGAAGGTTTGAAATGGGCAGGATGGGATCTCGGTCACTAGGAAAGCCAAAGGGCTTTCCCGAGTTAATAGTGAGGGCTATTGGCTTGAGTAAAATAGTGGGAGCATCGTTTAATAAAAGACCATATTAAATAATAATGAACTTTATAATAACTTTATCTTTTCTGCAATTGTAGATTCACCGAAAATGAGTATTATGAACCTGCGACGATAATCGAAAAAGAAAACAGGTTGGATGGATCCAATTTCTCAGACTGGTTTCGTAATCTTCGGATTATACTTAAGTCAGAAAAGAAATTGTATATCCTTGAAAAGCCATACATGGTGAGCTGATCCTGATGCCACTCAGGAAGTTAAGGATACTTATCAAAGTTCCTTGATGATGCTGATAGCGTACAATGCTTGATGTTAGCATCGATGACACCTATGCTGCAAAAGCAGCATGAGAATATGGAGTTTCTTCCATAATTCTACACCTCAAAGAGCTTTATGAAACAAATGCTCGACATGAGAGGTACAAGGTATCGAAAGCACTGTTTGGGAGTCGTCTGAATGAGGGTGCCCAAGTTGGTCCTCATGTGCTCAAGATGATCGAGCACTAGAGAGGCTTGAGACTTTGGGATGTGCTTGGATGCAGAATTACAAACGGATTTAATTCTGCAATCCTGCCTGACTCTTATGCTCCGTTCATAATGAATTTCAATATGAACACGATGGAGAAAACCCTATCAGAACTTCGAACATGCTGAGGACGCAGAGCAGGACTTGAAAAAGTCCAAGCTGTTTTACTAGTTGCTGCCAGTAAAGCAAGGGTAACGGCAAGGATAAGGCTAAGGCCAAACCCAAGCCCAAGCCTAAAGGACAGGTTGCTTGGTCCTGAGAGTGGCATAGGAAAGGGCAAAGTAGTCTGCTTTTTTTGTGGCAAGCCTGGCCACTGGAGGAAACACTGTAAGGCTTTCCTCGCAAGCAAGAAGAAGTCAGAGGCTACGGCTTCAGGTACTTTCATGATTGAGATTAATTCTCTCCTCAAAATCTTGGGTCATGGACACAGGATGTGGTACTCACATTTGTACTGATGTCAGGGACTAAGGCAGAGTAGAGTGCTCGCCAAGGGAGGGTGGACCTACGAGTTGGAAATGGAGCACATGTGGCTGCATTAGTGTAGGGACTTATGTTTATCTTTGCCTACGGGTTTATTGTTGGAACTACATAACTGTTATCACGTACCTTCTATCTAAAATATTATTTCAGTATCCGTTTTGGATAATAGGGTTATCTTTTGAGATATCAATGGATTGTTGTCCTTTAGTTTGAATGGTATTCTATTGGAATTGCAAGGTTATATAATGGATTATATGTTCTGATTTAAACAATAAAGATATTCTCAATATTGAAACCAAAAAGCTAAACTAGCGATCAAAACCAACATATCTCTAGCATTGTAGATTGTGTCATGTTAATAAGACTCGCATTGCAAAACTTCAAAGGGATGGAGTTTTGGCCCCTTTTGACTTCCAGTCATTTGAGGTATGCGAGTCATGCCTTTTAGGCAAGATGACCAAGTCTCCTTGCACAGGACAAAGTGAAAGGGCTACTGAACTGTAGGCATCATCCATAGTGATGTATGTGGTCCACTAACAGTTGAAGCCAGAGGTGGATATTCATACTTCATACATTTATGATGATTTCA